CTTTTATCCGCAAACATCTGTTTTAATCTCCAAACATCTGCTTTTATCCGCAAACATCTGATTTTATCCGCAAACATCTGCTTTTATCCGCAAACATCTGATTTTATCCACAAACATCTGTTTTATTTCGCAAACATCTGATTTTATACGCAAACATCTGATTTTATACGCAAACATCTATTTTAATCTGCAAATGTCTGCTTTTATCCGCAAACATCTGATTTATCCGCAAAACATCTGATGTTATCCGCAAACATCTGATTTTAATCGCAAACATCTGTTTTAATCCGCAAACATCTGATTTTATACGCAAACATCTGATTTTATCTGCAAACATCTGATGTTATCCGCAAACATCTGCATTTATCCGCAAACATCTGATTTTATCCGAAAACATCTGATTTTATCCGCAAACATCTGATGTTATCCGCAAACATCTGCTTTTAATTGCAAATCTCTGCTTTCATCCGCGTTTCGGTTTGCCTGTATTTCCTTTGTCCATTTCGGTCCTGTTTCGTACGCAAACGTCTGGTTTCATTCGCGCTTTTTGTTTTCCTTTTTCTCGTGTATACTTTAGTTTAGTTTACTTATCCGCTTTGTCAAATTTTACTGAGCTTTCCGCGAACATCTGCAAACATCTGCTTTTAACTGCAAACCTCTGCTTTCATCCGCGTTCGGTTTGTCTGCATTTCCTTTGTCCATTTACATAGGTCCTGTTTCGTACGCAAACGTCTGGTTTCATTCGCGCTTTTTGTTTTCCTTTTTATTGTGTATACTTTAGTTTAGTTTAACTGCTTTGTAAAATTTTACTGAGCTTTAACTAACTGGCACACAACTTTATAACTCTAAAAGGAATTATTTGAATAAAAACAACCTGTAAAGGAAATAAGTTTTATTGAACTTCAATATTATTTGGTAAAATACAAATAAGGTCTTTGTTAAAGGACATAAATAGATATTTTTTAATCATTAAGCTTACATTTAAATTAATTGTTAGAAAACATATATGTTTAATTTCAAATACATTTGGAATTATAACATCTTCAATTTGTATGGAATTTGTTTGAAAAACACTTATTTAGGCGTAGAATTTTTCATCTAACTTTAAAAACTTTTTAATTTTGGCATAACCAGTATTTTTAATATATATTAAAAATACTGGTTATGCCAAAATTAAAAATAAGTTAAATAAATAAATAAATAAGTCTATTAATTCTTACATATTATGTAAGAATTAATAGACTTATTATTTCTGTGGTACTCTTCACTATAGTATACCTGATTTTTAAATTTAAATCTGGTGAATATAATTAAATTATTTTCCCATTGGGAAAATGTCGTGTTGAATAAACTTATTTCCTTTACAGGTTGTTTTTATTCAAACAATTCTTTTTAGAGTTATAAAGTTGTGTGCCGTGAACGGCTAACAACCAGTTAGTTAAAGCTCAGTAAAATTTGACAAAGCAGGTAAACTTAACTAAAGTATACACGAGAAAAAAGAAAACAAAAAGCGCGAATGAAACCAGACGTTTGCGTACGAAACAGGACCGAAATGTACAAAGGAAATACAGGCAAACCGAACGCGGATGAAAGCAGAGATTTGCAATTAAAAGCAGATGTTTGGAGATGTTTGCGGATAAAAGGAGATATTTGCGGATAAATGCAGGTGTTTGCGGATAAAATCAGATGTTTGCGGATAAAAGCAGATGTTTGCGGATAAAAGCAGATGTTTGCGTATAAAATCAGATGTTTGCGGATAAAAGCAGATGTTTGCCGATAAAAGCATATGTTTGCGGATAAAATCAGATGTTTGCGGATAAAAGCAGATGTTTTCAGATTAAAATAGATGTTTGCGGATAAAATCAGATGTTTGCGGATAAAAGCAGATGTTTGCGGATAAAATCAGATGTTTGGAGATTAAAACAGATGTTTGCGGATAAAAGCAGATGTTTGCGGATAAAATCAGATGTTTGCAAATAAAATCAGTTGTTTGTGGATAAAATCAGATGTTTGCAGATAAAATCAGACGTTTGCGGATAAAGGCAGATGTTTGCGGGGGTGCACTAACCGGATGAAATAAGGCGTTCGCAGATAAAAGCATGTTTACGGGTGAAACAGTATGAAAGCAGATGTTTGCGGATAAAATGAGATGTTTGCGGATAAAAGCAAATGTTTGGGGATGAAAGCAGATGTTTGCGGATAAAAGCAGATGTTCGCGGATAAAATGAGATGTTTGCGGATAAAGCAGATGTTCGCGGATAAAAGCAGATTTTTGCGGATAAAATTAGATGTTTGCAGATAAAAAGCAAATGTTTGGGGATGAAAGCAGATGTTTGCGGATAAAAGCAGATGTTTGCGGATAAAATGAGATGTTTGCGGATAAAAGCAGATGTTCGCGGATGATTGCAGATGTTCGCGGATAAAAGCAGATGTTCGCGGATGAAAGCAGATGTTTGCGGATAAAAGTAGATGTTTGCGGGTGATTGCAGATGTTCGCGGGAGATTGCAGATGTTCGCGGATAAAAGCAGTTGTTCGCGGGGTGACTGCAGATGTTCGCGGATGAAAGCAGATGTTTGCGGATAAAATGAGATGTTTGCGGATAAAAGCAGATGTTCGCGGATGATTGCATATGTTCGCGGATGAAAGCAGATGTTCGCGGGTGATTGCAGATGTTCGCGGATAAAAGCAGATGTTTGCGGGGGTGCACTAACCGGATGAAATCAGGCGTTCGCAGATAAAAGCATGTTTGTGGGTGAAACCGTATGAAAGCAGATGTTTGCGGATAAAACCAGACGTTTGCGGATGAAAGCAGATGTTCGCGGGTGATTGCAGATGTTCGCGGATAAAAGCAGTTGTTCGCGGGTGACTGCAGATGTTCGCGGATGAAAGCAGATGTTCGCGGATAAAAGCAGATGTTGGCGGATAAAATCAGATATTCGCGGATGAAAGCAGATGTTCGCGGATGATTGCAGATGTTCGCGGGTAAAAGCATATGCTCGCGGATAAAACCAGACGTTTGCAGATAAAACCCGACAAAAAGAGACGAAAAAAATGCAAGTAATCGCGGATAAAAACAGACGTAAGCAGATGATTCCGGACAAATTCAGATATAAACGAAACACAGTGAAGACGGTTAAAAACAGATGATTGCAGATGATTGCGGGGGTGCACTAACCGGACATAAAACACAACCAACCGGGTGTTCGCGGATATAGCGATGCGGACAAAAGCAGATGTTAACAGATGATATTTTTACTCGCTTTTATCTGCCTTTATCCGGCTTCGACGAAGAATTTATACCCGCAATCATCTGCTTTTATCCGGTTTTGACGAAGAATTTATATCCGCAATCATCCGTCATTTTCAGCAGGGTATATTTTATTTTCGTGTTAATGCATTAAAAAATTTGAATAAATTTGAGTTTTTTTCATTTTTAGGTTTGTTTAGGTTTAGGTTTAAACTAACAAATTAAAGTATAGTTAGTCAAAAAAAACTGTAACCTCAATACCAGTTGTGTTGCTTGGAAATCACCATACCAGTTCAGGGTTAAAAGTTTTAGATTTACTTCGCGGTGACTGCAAATTAACACAATGTATTAGCACTAAATTTGGCAAAATACTGGTTGCACGCACGACTACCTGACAACACGCAAACAATATGACATTTTTTTAACCGTCTTCATCCTTTTTAATTTTGTTTGTGGTTTCTAAGGTTTTAAATATTTGGAAACATTTTGTTATGTAAATAAACCTATATTATTGTATTCTAGTTTTTTACTTCTGTCGCCGTAAATACCTCATTTTGCCTTACGTGCATATGGTGGATAAAGATAGAGCAATCTTATGAATATTAAAAATACCTTATTTTAATGGATTTTTTGTTTCCCTTAAGTATCTCTGTTAAAACAAAATTGCCATTCGAGTCCAATATTTTCAAACTATTTTTCGGTTGAAGTGCAAATAACAGCAGCTTAAAAAATATTTAATAAAAATTCCCATAAAATTTACATTTTTACCCTTCAAAACTTCTATTATTTTTAAATTTTGTATTTTTTGGTTATTCTGAAGGTCTAGCCAAGAGCAATCTTTTCCCAGATTTTTAGATTTTTTTTTAACATTAATGGTACCTATCCCTTCTGGAGACGCCTCCAATTTTGTTATATACTGAAACTTCTAAAAATCTAATTTAATATTATTTTTGTTTATTGCTCTGTTTTTAAAACAAAGAACAAATTTTCCACATGTAGGTTTTTTATAAATAATATTTAGTACAAATAAAAAGTTGTTTGATTTTATTAATTCAAATATTAAAAAATATATATAAAATTAATTGTTACAATTATAATAAAAAAGTGTAAAATTTACATAAATATCATATATAAATGCTATATAAATACCATAAAACATTGTTATATAGCCATGACATAATAATATTATATTATAATGCTTTATTATTATTATTATTATTATTATGTAACAAAATAGAGAAAAACTATGTAAATACCATATAATATGGGTATATGGATACTATAGTATATACAAAACATTGCACTATATCATTGATGTATCATTTTTACAATGTAGATATATAAAATTGTTATATGGCTGATACATAAATGTAAATAGTACAAGGGGTGGAACATGTTATATTATTATGTTTTATCATAATTATGTAACAAAATCGAGAACTAATATGTAAACGATATATAAAGAATTCTATATGGCAATGTTCTTTGTTAGGTATATCATAGCTATGTAAACAGCATGGTTTGCTGGGTTATTTAAAAAAAATCGGGAAAAAATAAATCGATGTTTAAAAAAATCGAACATCAAAATCAAAAATCGACATTAAAAAATATATTTTTTTTATTAGATATCGATTAAAAATCGGCTTTCCATCTCTTCCTTAATCAAAGTATGTTCAAATTTGGGTTATTTTCGGGGATTTTGATTATAATCATAATAATTATTAATCATTGACTAAAAAACAGTACTATTTTAAAATATTTTTATTTAAATCATCGTAGGAGATCTTTTTGTAAATACATTTATAATATATCGCATAATATAATTTAAGTATTCTTTTTTAAAGTACATTGAAGGCATCAGGGATATGAAGGCATTACAAAGGTTCGGAAAAGTTGGTCTAAAGTTCCACATACACTAACCACATACACATACATTACATCTAAAATCTTAAAACACGAATTTGGAGAGAACGAAAGCCAATAAAATGGCGGTTACGCTAATTTCTTTGGTGTATGCGCTGTTTTCGAGGCATGTAGCGGGTTTTGGAGACATTTTGATGTACTGGCACAAAGCTTTCACGAAATTCTTTTGGGCCATCTGGCTGTCCTCCATTTTGTATATTTTGTCGAAAACAATGGTTGGTACGCTTTTTAAAGGTTTCATTAACATGTCAGTCATGTTGCCAGCTTGTGCAAGGTACGTAGAACCGTCGTGATGTTTAGCGCAGTTGTCGATTATGTTGACATTCGGCACTTGGTTCAAGTTGGCGCAGTCGTTGCTAGGAAACGACATTTGCGGTTCTTGGTCCTCTTTTTTTACGGACTTGTCCATCAAACAATTTACAAAACCGGTGGCAACCTTGTTGAAACCCAGACCCATGGTGTTGTTACCTCTCTCGATGTTATGCAAAGCACATGCGTGCAACTTGTTGCCGTAACACTCGATATCACCATGATGACACTTAAAAACGAGGTTTCCCAAGTTCGATTCAGTCTGAAACCAAAAATTTAAAAATTATGGATTTTAATCAAATTTTTCAAAAAGTATGGATTTTGATCAACTCATCAAACGACTATAAAGAGTTTGTAATCTCAAATTTTAGTGATTATGGATTTTAATAAAAAAAGTATTAATTATGATCATAGCCTCAAATAACTTAAAATTGTTAGTATGATCGATTTTCGGTGATTATTGATTTTATTCACAAATAAGTATGGATTGTGATCATCGACTTACCGTTGATTTTCCATAGGGTACCAAGGTTAGGTTGACGAATTGTTTGAGTTCGCCTTGTAGAGATGGGTACAGTTGTTGGTTGAAGAATTTCCTGGAATCTGGGCATAATGATTCATAGTAAACGTCAACATTAACCTAAAGAAACAAAAATGTTGTTAAAATAACTACGTAAACTTGACCTTGCAATAAAATGTGTGTTTGTCCCAAGCAAATTTAATTAGTTTGGTATTGGGATCATAAAATCTATTGTTTAAATACCGTATCAATATAAAACAAAGAAAAATCACGTATTTTAATTTAAATCTTTATGGTTTTACAATAATTTTTTTTAACATAAGACAAATGTACTAAAACCTACTTAGCAACAACTATACTTTCATTTTGCTTAGAATAGCTATATTTTTTTTAATAAACATAACACATATTATGTTGGTGTAAAAAATTAGCGATGTGCTTAATATAGGTATTATTAGGGGATTTGGCACGAATCTGATAATTATTTTTAAATAACCATCTGTTAAGGCAATCCTTTTCACTTTTAAACTAACTATGCTTATTCAAATATGCAATACTATTGAATTTTGTGGTAAAAATTAGTATTGCAAATGTGGCATTGAAATAGAGAATATTAAATGTATTAAAATTTATTATAGCACAAACCAGGGTTCTCATTTCCTACCGCAATGATTAATGATGATTCTGTTTTACGTGGGAAAGTAAAAGTTCCGTTTTTCAATTTTTTTGGGAAACCGTTTTTTAAGCAATCATTTTTTCCAAAAATTTTAAATCTCTACTCTCTAAAAACGAATTAGTCAAAAATGACTAATTTAATAGTTATAAGTGGTTGCTTTTTCACTTGTACCATGGAATACCATGGTATCACAAAATTTAACAGCCAATTCTTATGTAAAATTGTCCCTGAATCCGAAAATACCGTCAAAATTATGAAAGTGGAGCAGTTGTATACCTGTTGGGCTGATAGTTTTGGGTATTATTAAATTTCAAAGTTTGTGATTTAATTTTTTTTATTTTAAAAAAATTACACCTTTTAACCAATTAAATGCTCAAATTGCCAATCGTTGGTTTCTTGCCAGTAAGCAAGCCTATCCGAGAATTCTCTGACAACGTTTTCAATGAAATCCGCACTGACACAGCGACATTCTTCACGAATTTGACTTTTCAAGTCTTCTAAATTTTGTGGTCTGTTGATATAGACTTTTGTTTTAAGGTAGCCCAGAGGGGTGAGATCGCGGGCCACTCTATCGGACCTCGTCTTCCAATCCACCTTTCAGGAAAACAGATGTCCAAAAAAGTACGGACAGGACGCGCATAGTGAGGAGGTGCCCCGTCCTGCTGAATCCAAACTGTATTACTTGGAAGATTGGGACCTCCATCCTCGTTGGGAAACATTTCCGCTAATGTAGGAAGAAAAGAGATTTGCAAAATTCCAAATATATTTGTCCTGTCAGATTCTCGTTGAAAAAGAAAGGACCTATGATCCGATTTTCCACTACACATGCTCAGATATTCACTTTTTGCGGAAATTGAAAATGTGCCTCTACCATCCAATAAGGATTTTCTCTGCTGCAGTACCTACAATTTTGACGGTTAGGTAACTGCTCCATTTAAGCAGAAGGAAGCTTCGTCGAAAAAAGTATTTTACGAGGAAAGTGTGGATTATTTTGACATAAATTCATCATAGTTTCACAAAATTGTAGGCTACTGTCCGGAACATCTTCTTTAAGTTCCTGCACAAATTTTTATGAATGGTACTTTTCTTTCTTCATCAGACGTAATACTGACTTGACTTTCAGCTGAGACTAAGCTGGAAGCACTGTGAGGATCGTCAATTTTTGCGTCTTCACTAATTTTCGGACGGCCAGGTTTTGGAATATCTTTGACATGTCCAGTCTCTCTAAATTTCTGTTTAATTTTACTAACAGTAGAACGAGTAATAGGTCGAGTTGGATACTTTGCATTAAACAAATGAACGCATGATTCTTGTTGCGTTCTAGTTTTATTGCCACATCCTACGAGAGTTAAAACTTCCATTTGCTGTGTTTCTGTCAAATGGGCCATAATTGGAAAGATTTAAAAACCGCTGAACACTCGACTAAAAGTTTGTACCTGTAGTAGCCAATTTTTGAAGAAATATACCGACACCTGCTGTTTGTAGAACAAAAAAAAATAATAAAAAAACAAGTACGACTGAAAAAGTTTATACCTTAAATAAAGTATTTAAATAGATTTTATGAACATTTCTGAGATAACAACTTTTTTATTTTGTCAAAAATCACTAAAAAAACTATACATTTTTCACTTTTAAAAATTAATATCTCCGAAACTATCAGCCCACAAGGCATACTCTATTCGAATCTGCAAAAAAAAGTTAGAGGTGCAATTAAAAAAAAATGGCCGATGACGATGAGCTTCGACAAAAATGGTGTCAAATATAAAAATGTTACATCAAAATGTGCGTAATTGAAAAATAAAATTGACTTGTTCAAGGATCTTATTTGAAAAATTACAGGAAATTTTTAAATGAATTTGTTCCATACTTTTGCCGGCCACTGTATAAAATATTATGTTTACACGGTTTTAGATATTTTTAGAAGCAAAAGTAAGAATAAATTATACAAAATATACTTTGTTAATATAGTATAATCCGGTAGATCGGTACGACCAAAGCTATATTAATGTTTAAACTATCAAAGTTTCTAGAAACACCATTTAATATATTTTTAGTAACAAAAGTAAGAACAAAACAAAAATAAATATGGGGAATCCTTTTAAATTTGGTGCGGTACTAACCAGAATTATTTGTTTATAACTACACATTTATTTTCCAACAATGGCCATTATTTGTAAACATGTCTGCTTTTGAAGAAGGGAATTTTAAAGTGGTAATCCTATACAAAACGTGAAAATCACTTGAGCATCTAGCAAGAACGTTGAAATCACCAACGCAATTATAAAATCAAGTTTTGCCACATTCAAGGTTTGGGAAAAGTTCCGAAAACGTTGCCAAAACTGATATACCCACTTTACTACCACTACCACTTTAACGTAATATGATGTGATTTGTTTGCCGATACTATTCATAATACAGTCTAAAGTTTAGCCAACTTTAAAGTGGTGGAAAAAGTGGTCATTACGTTTTAGATACCAGACTAATACACCAAAAAGTTATAAAACTATTAAGTATATTCTGCTGGTGCAAATCACATGATTACTATGCTAATAGAATATGAAGATATTCCAACTGTATTGTGGTAGATTTAGTTATTTTAACGTAATTGCCACTTATTTGAAGTGGCGATATCAGTTTTTGTCACTATAATGCTACTTGGGCTTATTTCCTGAAAATATTATGATATACTTATTTCTTAGTTAATGTCACCAAAACACATATATTATATTATTTTAAAAAAATAAAACGAAATTATTTGAAAAAAATAACTAATAATTGTAGGTAAACAAAAAACAACCCCATCGTAAAAATTACATATCTTTTGTAAAAAATTCTCACTTTCAGATAAAAATTTCAAATTTGAAATAAAACTTGCGGCAAGGCTAGAAAAGTCGCATTTTTCATTGAATAGCTAAGATTTTTTTTTACAAAAAAAACAGTACTGTTTGTATTTTTATGAAACATTATTTACATCCAAAAAAAAATTAACAATTAAGTAAGAAAAAAATGTCCTCAAAATTCGAATTATCATTAGTTTAGAAAAGTAAGTACTTAATATTATGAGCTAAAATCTCCAGTGAATCATTATTTTGATGTAGACAATAAATCAACAATTTTTTTTAAAACAAAGTTTATTTGGTGGAATGACCTATATATATAGTTATTTCTTGTATCACGGTAGATTGGTACGACTAAGGTGATATATTTTCAAAAAAGTTTTATTTAGGGCTTGTTTGAACATAATCCACTACACAAATTGCCATCAACAGGGTTTTCTATATTTTAAGAAGCAAAACCTTTAGGTATGGCCAACGTGATTTTTTTTTATAAGTGTACTATTTAGGGCATGTTTAAATATAATCTATATTAACATGGGTTTAGATATTTTAGAAGCTAAAGTAAGAACAAATTTAAAAAAGCCGGTAGATCCGATCTACAAAAATAAATTATTTGGTGCATCAATATCCAGCAATACGATATTTTTAGAAGCAAAAGTAAGAAAAAATTAAACAATATATTTTATCTAATTTCGTATAATCCGGTGGTTAATATAAGATAAAGCATAAAGGTTAAAAATGTTGTAGATCCGGTCCTGTAAGACGAAGGCCCTTTGTAAGGCTAAATCTTCTGTTATAAAGCGTTAGAACGATAGTTACGGTCATTAACATTTAGTTTCGTGACAAGTTAACATTTTAACATAATAATATTATGCTATATTATAATTTTGGGGTGTGACACCCTTTTCACGGACCACTTACTTTATTTGGGGAAAAATTAAAATTATAATTACAAAAACCATATAAACTATATTAAATTTTAAGTTATAACGCAGAAAAGATAATTAAGTTTATTAGTAGCCTACCCACTTAGTTCCTTATTAAAATTTAGCTTCACTACGTATGGTGGTGAAAATTCATATAAAAAATACTTTAATTGTTTTTAAAATGCTTTTGAAATCACGTTTAGACAATTTTGCATCGAGCGGCCTTGGTAAAACCAGAAGCGGATTTAATTAAAACAAAAATAGGTTTATGATCTAATATAATAAATTGTTATTTTGGCATTTTATTTTCTCTAGAGACAAACGTCTGTTATATCACAACTATTTATTTTTACAATATTTTACCATTCCATAATTCCACAAATAAACCCTAAACGATTGATTGTTGGTAAAAATATTATTTGTGTAATTAAGATGTATTTCTTATAGTTTTAGAAACAAATTACATTGAATTTTGTTAATACCCGTTTTGTTAATACGGAATGATTTTATATTATAATTTTTTTTTAAATAAATTATATTTTCAATAATTATTATTATTGAATATTCTATAAATATTAATTTGGCGCGTCTTTACGGGAGGTTTTACTATAGTAAATATATTTAACAAAAAGGTTTTTTAGTTTTATTATTAAATAGTAAATCGTTCCATATGCGTTCAGTTTTATTATTAAATATAATTGGTTTTGTCAATAGTTACCTATATTTTATTTTATGGTAAACTTTATTACTTATAGGTATGCTTTAGTATACTTAATTAAATTAAAGAGGCAAAGAAAATATAAATATGAAAGGAAAATAAATTAAAATTACCTATAAGTATATATAATTATTATAGTTCTAAGTAACTTTAAATCAATTTAAAATTTTAACAAAATATCAACTTTTTTCCTAAAAACAAGTTTAATAATTCTATTTTTAATTTTTCAGGTTTATCGTGCAATTTATTGTATTTTTTATATTTATTAAATTAACATTTTATGAGTAATTTTCGTAAAGCTTTTAAATTACTTTTTTTAATTAATTTTATGATTGTATGAGTCATTTTGTGTAAATCATCCTGTTTTGTTACTTTTACCCTTTAAAAAGCCGTGGAAACCAAAAATGTTAAGTCAATAGACAAATATTTTATCTAGAAACGGTGCACCAAATTACGTTTTAAATTTTGCTTTATTTAAATGGTTTTTATTGCCACCATTATGGGATGCAGTAAAATAGCAATTAAAAAAAGTATTCAACTGTATAATTTGAGTATTGTTAAATCAGCGATTTAAATTGTTAGGTAGGTACCCATAGGTAACTAATTTTATTGTATGCTATATACATTTGTTATGGAATGTGGATATGGCCTTGTGTAAAAAATATTATCTTGTAAAAACGCAAAAACACTGAATATATTTTTATAATTAGTGTGAAAAATAATTAAAATCATATTAAAACAACATGTAAATTTGCGAAAGATAACAAAATTAGTTGTGTTCAACTGGACATGATAAAATTTATATGGCAACATTTTGAACTAGAGTGGCAATAAAATATTGATTTTGCACAAACAGGTATTAATGAAAATTTAACTTTCTCTTCTTATTAAATAAAAAATTGCAATATGTTAAAAATATACCATTGTTTAAGTAAAAAATGATATAACAAAGCAACGACAGCATAATTATTGTATAATTACACAATAACATTGGAAAATTAAAATAAATCATATTTTTTTAAACACACACTTAAGGGGTCTTTCCTCACATAACCCAGCGGTATACCCCCTTAAAAAAACAACTCACCCTGTGGTGTTCGTGATTTCCACTGTGAGTGTGATCGTGTTGAGCGCACACACCAATCACCAAAAGAGCACTCGCCAAAATAAATTTCATTTTTACGTATTTTTCTTGTTGATTTTTTTCTCTACCTTAAAACAAACACGAGATTTCACACTGTAGTCTTTTAGCAGGCGCTCCCGAACAAGTGAACGCGAAGAGAGGTTGCGAGATTTTACCATTGGGTCGCCGCGACGTTGCCAGGTTTACCATAAATAGCGGATTTTGAGTAAAGTTTTTGTTTTTAGCGCAATTTTGGTCGTTTTTACGTCAATATATCGTGTTTGTTTTATTGTAGAATTTGTGTTATTTAATTTAATTTTGTATATTTTGTTAATTTTTATAAAAAATATATTTAAAGTTCAAAAAACAAAAATACAGTTTTTTTTTTTAAATCTGACAACTGTTTAAATTTACCGGTAGGTCAGTGGCGGGGGTTTTACGGGTCATGAGTCTCGTAGATATTGGCCTACTGAGTTTTTTGATGCAAAAATAGCCTGTAAAAATTAATATTGACTCTTCACTATAATTATTGAATTTATATATTAAATAACGGTTATTCGCGGTTAAAGTATTAAAATGCACACTTTGTGGGTTAAATTTACCTAATTTTGTCTGAGATTGCTCTTAATAAAACATGGTTCGTTCTTTGCACTTGAACGTATAAAAGGCAACTCCTTGAAAATGATATTGATTTAAAGTGTACAAGATAACAAGAATTTAAAAGAACAAAACAAGCAGATTTTGAGATAAAATATAAACCCAGAGGCGTTGCTTACTTATTGTATATTGTATATCAAGTTTGATAAACGCCATTTAGATCACGAATTAAAATTAGGCACGAGCGAAGTACAGGGTGGGGCAAAAAGGTTGCCCCATTTTTAAAGGGTCATTGCTGAACTCGTGGGGGGATAGAGCAGTGCGCGTGGTGGCTTTAGGTAGGTACGTGCATGCCATTTTCAGTGGTCATAACAAATCTGTCATATTTGGGATGTCAATAAAATTCAAACTAAGAAAAAGCTTTCTATCTTTTAAAGGTCCATTAATTACGTGAGGGTTTTTTTAAATAAAATGTCCGGAAAAAGTTGTCTCTTTACGGGGTGATATTGGGTGGCCTCCGCGTTCGCCTGATTTGACCCCTTAGAATTTTTTTGTGGGGTGTCTAAAATCAATTTTTAAGTTTATAAACAAATATTAGGTACACAAAATATTTGTATATATACTCTATAGAGCGATATTTATACAAAAATAGAGTAGCGAAATTAATGTTATGAATCGGTTTTGACAGCTTTTAAAATGTCTGTTTTAGTTTGTCAAATTTTTCTGTGATAATAGAAATTTCTACCTTTTAAATTTACTAACAACCATTTAAATTCGATATAGAAGCAGTTTTACTGTGAAAAACTGCTTCTATATCAAATTTATTTATAAAAAATAAACTAAAAATATCTAACTTAAAAATATTCACATTAAAATTTATAAATAAATTTATATATAAATAATATATATGGACGGATAAAAATATATTTCCATATAAAACAAATAAAATATCAGAGCAATCGGAATACCCACCCCCTGAACTCCAATTGTTTTTGACGCGGCCCCATAAAATACAATGCCAACAAATAAGCTTTGTTTATAAATACTTCCGCATAGCCACTTATAGGTTTTGTACCAAATTATTTGAAAAGTTTGTGAATATTGCTTTCCCTACCTCTTATCGTTATTTAAAAATATTGATAACATTTTTGGCTTTGGACGACTTTCCAATATCTGTTTTTTTCTTCTCAAAAAAGGCGTTTGAATTATTTAGATTTTAACATACAGGGGGCGCTGGTGATAATTTAATTTAAAATTTAACAATTTTTAAAGGGTAAATAATCAAAGAAGCAACTTTGTTTTATAAATTTGAGTATAACACGTTAAAGTATTGGAATTTGACTATTATTTGATATATTAAATTTTTTATACAAATGATGTTTCTGTAGCCAGGATCAGTTTTGAATTAGCAGTAGCAGTAGCAGTATTCATAAATGTTTAGTTTAATACATTTTCTCATTTTTATACAAATATTGTTGTATATTTTATTAATATATTAATATATATATATTATAATTAAGTATAGCATAACACATAAATCACATTTAATATACAGGGTGTTTCACGTACGTAGTCCGTTAGAAGTTTCTAGGGAATAGCGAGACATTGATTTAAAATTTTAGTAGCGTAAGTTATTCGATTTAGACTTATTTCCTAAATTATTTTGAACAAAATAATTTTTCCTGTTTTACCGGAAATGTCTGTAACTTTGGACACCTCATACCTATATTTTAACATTTTTGAATTCTACATAAAATTCTGAGTAAAATGGCTTTACCATATCCTATACCTAAAGTCAATTTTCCAATCAAATATTTTAATTCATTTAAACAATTACAGATTAAGTGGTAACCATGGATACTGTCACATTAACCCACATGTAGAATTTCACAGGTTTGTTGATACAAAATAGTATTGAAAATATTAGAAATTGTTAAATGTATCTGAAATTTTAACTTTAGAAAACAGTTATTATAATACCAATCGAAAGATTCTTTAATTTTCTATTTTATTATGTTAAAACATACAGGGTTTTACATTTATAATAAAAACGTTATTATTGTTTGAAGTTTGCCTAATTTCAAGTGGTTTTTCTCAAGTTATTTGTTAAAGAACCTTTAAAAAATTAAATTATTTAAACAATGTTTTAATATTCCAAAAATTCCAACCCCATGTCAGCAAACATAATAACTGTGGTACGAGATAGCAAAGAGCCAAGTTGTATGGATGCAATATACCGTGTGTTAGAGTAAAGACTGTGTTTCAATCCCACGTTTCCCGATTGGCACCTCGAACATTACATGGCGACGAGGTTGTGAGTGAGAATCCGAGGGCAGAGTTAAAAGAAGTTCGCGAAAGCACAAATTAATTAGTGAGGAAGTTTTCGGCGTACAGGGCAAAATGGCGACGAACATCCGGTTTCAGGAGTTCAACGTGGAAATAGATGACTGGGAGATTTATAGTGAAAGGCTTCAGCAACACTTCAAAGCTCAAGCAGTCAAGGAGGAAGTCCAGGTACCTATTTTGTTAAGTTTAATGGGGGCAACGACTTACAAATTATGTCGAGACTTATGCTTTCCCGCCAAACCCGCAGAACGCACGTTTGACGAGCTCAACAAGTTGTTGAAGGAACATTTTTGCCAAAAACTATCAGTGTGGAAAGAAAGAAGGACTTTTATGGAAATAAACCAGCAAGCAGAAGAGGGCATAGGAAAGGAGCATGCGCAAGTAAACCTAGTGCGCAAATACAACATCAAAAGCAGAACGAAGCAATTTCAAAAGTCGCGCGCAAATGAATATGACAGAACACGTAGTTCAAATGCACAGGATCGTGAAGGTCAAAACAAGATGGCGGATTATAAAGGTAAACATTATAAACAAGAAAGAACAAACCGAAGTAGATGCTGGACGTGCGGTTCCACGAATCATTTGGCACGGTATTGTAGAAGAAAGAGGTTTCATTTCATAGAAGGCAACAGTGACGATAGCAGAAGCGCCGATTCAGCAGAAGCTGAGGAGAAGGTATGGTTCTGTGAACGGATGTTGAGTGTTAATACCAGTTACAACAAAAACGCAGTTAGGAACAACAAATTTCAGGTAGATGTTAAAGTAGGCAATGATTTAATGAAATTTCATGTAGACACTGGTGCAAGCATTTCCGCTATGCCGATAACATTGTATGAACGTAGGTTTACTCATTTTAGATTAAGACATAGTAACATAACCCTGAAATCGTACAATAACACTAATTTTAAACCATTTGGTTGAGTTTTGTGTTGTCTGCTGAAGCAGACAGGTCGTAGACGGCCTTTCTTGAGAAGACAACATGGGACTCCCAGTACAAAAATACACTGGTCAGTACCATTTATACAAATCTACAGTAGATTAATTGATTCCTGAATAATTTCCACGATGGATGGTCAAAATAATTAAAGATAATATGTGCATAGAGACATTCGCCATGGTGCATGGTTGGAATGAAATACAAGATGAAGGTTAAACAATAAAAAATGTATACATGAAAAACAAACTGGTACGAAATATTTAATGGTTAAATTATATGGATGATTGTAAAAGTGTAATGTTGTGTATGATAATTAATTTTGGACAATGTTAAATGTATTGAAAAGAAACGAAGAAAGAAAATGGACATATTAATAAATAAACAAGAATATATCGAAAGTGTGAAAATAAAAATTTTAAGTGATAAAGTGAAATTTGTGAAAGAAATTGGACATAAATTAATATTAAAATGAACTATGAACAATAATAATTTAAAATAAATGATTTAAGGGATGAGTTGTACTCAGATTCTCTTAATTGAGACCCTTGAACATATTAAATAATCAAAAAACATAATGAGCTGGCCAAATAGCTTGTAATTAAGCTAAAGGCCATTACCCCTGAACACAGTGCATCTGTGTTCAGATTGAAGAAGAAGAAGAAGAACCATTTGGTTATTTTAAAACAGAGGTGGAGTACCAAAGCAAATGTAAAGTAATAAAATTTTATGTTGTAGAGGAAGCTGCCTGTTGTATCCTGGGGCAGGACTGGCTGGAGGAATTCGGTATTGGTTTAGGGGTAGTGAATTGGATTAAAAATGAACAGGAGGAAATAGTGGCAAGATTCCCAAACCTTTTTAGTGAAAAGCTAGGAAAATTCAAGCTGGCAAAGATAAGGTTACATCTCAAGAAAGAAACAGTGCCAGTTTTCGCTAAAGCAAGGAATGTACCGCTAGCATATAGACAAAAACTTGACGAAGAACTGGAGAAGCTGGAAAAAGAGGGAGTTATATCACCGACACAGTCTACAGAATGGGCAACGCCACTGGTATGTGTGTTAAAGGAGAATGGCGAGTTAAGGAGATGTGCGGATTATAAATCGACAGTCAACAAGTACCTGGTGGACATGCAGTACCCGCTACCAAGGCACGAAGAAATTCTTGCAAAGTTAGCAGGGGGACAGAGCTTTTCCAAGCTGGATATGAATCGAGCATATCTACAATTTGAGGTAGATGAAGAGGCAAGCGAGATATTGACTTGGGCAACACAACGAGGCTTA